GTTTCACTGCATATGTGACTATGAAAGAATTTTTTCATTAACTTATTTAATGCAGCCAGGCACAGTGGCACACATCTGTAATCCCAGTGGCTTGGGAGGCCAAGGCAGGAGGATCATGAGTTCAAAGCCAGCCTCAGCAAGGTAAAGCACTAAGCAACTCAGTGATGCACTGTCTCTAAATAAAGTACAAAAAAGGGCTGGGGGTGTGGCTCAGAGGTTGAGAACCCCTGAGTTCAATCCCCAGTACCAAGAAAAAAGAGAAAGAAAATTATTTAATGTATGTTTATTGGGCATCAGGCTCAGAGTGAAATATACAAAGGCAAATGAACAGACATGGTCCTAAGCCTCATTGAGTTGACAGTCCAGAGGAAAAGGAAGACAGAAGCAAGTTCTCAAGTAAATAATAATAATGATAAATGTTATAAAAGATAACCACAGAATGCTGGGAGGAAGGATAATAGGAAAAAGATAATTTAGGCTGGAGAGAAGAAATGTTTTTAAGGAATCTTGATTGAAAAAAATACAACAGATGCAAATATGAGGGGTCACTTAGCCAAGAGAAGAGTGGTAGAAACAGCATCCCAGGCAAACGGAGCTGTAGGTGTCAAGGCCTTGCAGAATTTAAGAGTTTGCATATTCAAGAAACTAAAAGAAGTCCACATGACTAAAACCTAGTGAACCAGAGGGGTTGGCCTGAGATAGAGTCAAAGGTGGGCTCCCACCGAATCATGCAAAGCTTTGCCACCATAGGGAACATTTTGTATGACATCAGAAAGCCAAGAAGAACCTGCTCAAAGATGTTTAAGCAAAGGAAAGAAGTGACTAAATTATATTATAAAAAGACCACTCTGGCCACTATATATACGTTGAGTTATAAAAGGGGAAAAACAGATGAAGGGGATGAGAGCACATTGGTGGGGGGAAAGGTGGATTTTTTTAATCTTGGGATACCCTCATTTTGGATCTGTAGTCAGTTGTAATAGTTAGTTGGGTGCCTGTGGACCCAGAACTCATATTATATGGACATATTCATTTTGATATCTTCACCCTAGAGACTATTTTAGTAGAGACCCACTGCCTCTCCAGGTGGTCTTCTTGGGCAAAAAAATCTGTGTAATCCTCATCTGTGCTATCACACCATTTGACCTCATGCACCCTTTTCCTGACAAGCTTTCAGAGTGCCAGCCTTGCCAGCCACATTCTGAACCATGAACACCATCTTCCTACAGCTCTTACACTCCACACACCTGTCTGGCCTCCCAGTGCCTCTCCTTGCCTCAGCCTTGGGCTTTGGTGCAGCACTAAAATGACCAGGCAGGGGCTGGTATCTGATTGAGTCCTCTCTCCCTATTGCAGAAGACCATCAACATCCCTTTCACCCAGACTTTGCCATTTCCCCTGTATCAATTATTTTCCTGAGTTTTTTCTAAGACCTCAAACCTCATGACAGGAAGGCAAGCAAGAATGGGTAAAATGATAGGACTTGCACCCCTCGGTAAGACCCAGAAAAGTAAAAAACACATGGCCTATATAAAGAGTAAGGAGAGTGGATCTTGCTAGTTTTAATTAAGAGGAAAAAGAAATGGAGAGAAACCAGAGCAGATACCTTAGGTAGAAAAATGTAGGAGACAGTCAAAGAATTTACCATTGTCTTTTTTCATTTGGGAATTTGAGTGGAAAAGTCATTAGGAAGAACTTCCTGGTTATTGGAAGAACCTCTTTTTCAGCAATTTAGAGGGGTATCTAGGAAAGGGTAGGCTGTATCCTAACCAAAGTTTGCCCTGTGCCTAACAGGAACAAATGCCAAGCACGGACTGCGCTGCAAAGCCTGTAAGATGAGCATCCACCACAGGTGCACAGACGGCCTAGCACCCCAGCGGTGCATGGGCAAGCTGGTAAGGGCTCATGCCAACAGGAAGCCCCAGACTCCTTGCCCCAACTCCAGCTCCTCGTAGCTCTGAAGTCACCCCAGCATCACTGTCCTGCTCACTTGGCTCCCTAATTAACATAAAGATAAAGAAGAGGTGGAGCTAAGTCAACCCTCTAGACAAATGCTGTACATTAGAGGGAGTCAGGGTCCTTAATAGAATGACTGTCTTTTCCCAAGTTGGGACTTTCTCAGTTTTAACATTGCAGTCTTTATCCGGGGACTGTTCAATTTTTTCAAAGTAGAAGTCATGCATCCCAGGAAACGCTTCTGTCCCAGGCAAACTAATGTCATTTGTTAGTTACCCTAGTGCTTAACTGGCTATCAACTCACTGAGTTTCAAAAGAGGACTAAAACCAACTGCTGGCAAAATTGAAACAGAGCTATAATAGTCTACATCACTTTAATAGACATGTTGGCCAAATGAAGAAAGATCTGATGGTCTTATCTTTCTGAGCTGATCCTAGCATCTCAGGAGTGTGGGCTTCAATCCTGATGCCTCACATTGATAAAAAGCAACCCAGAGCCTGTCTGAGGGTATTTGAAACTAGGATGGCCAAAGATTATACCAATGGTTTCTACTATAGAAAATAATTCAATGGAACATAACAACTGTCTTCAAAAAATGTAAGATCATCACATTTTCTGGTTCTAGGGAAAAGACTTAGGATCAGTAGGTGCCATGTCTTAACACTCAGATATAATATCACCAAGGACCTACCTCCAGGGCTAGGGAATGCTCCTATCACCTTCCTGCCACTGACAGTGCTCAGATAAAGCAGGACGCCACTTGTCAGGAACACGGGAGAAGATCTCAGGATTCTAGTAGAAACCAGGTCACCAAGTTCCCTTCTAACACTGGGAGTTCTAAGTCCAGGTTCTTACAAAGTTTATCCACTTCCTTTGATTGGCAGTGTCCTTTTTTTTTCTCAAATCCCTTCCACTTTCACCTGTTCCCCTTCTCCTTCTTCAGTGATCATTCTCACAAGCCAAGACAAAGATCACGGATGAGAGATCACAAACACAGAAGAGAATCCAGAAAGAATAGAACATGATTCTGAGGAAAACTCTTCAGATATGCCTTTAGGTCTTGGGGTCTGCTTTCTCATGCCCAGGACTTTATGAATTTAATAAAGCACAATCATAAACTGTGGCAAAAGAATGCAAGGCAATCCCTTTGTCCTGGGAGATAATGAGCGCATGGCACACAGCAGAAGCTGCAGTACACAGCAAGGGGAAAAGAAATAGTATGTCAAGCCAGGGCCAGGAACTTGCTGTCTGGATAGGGCATAACTTGCTTATTGCCATCCATCTTTTCTCCTCCCCACTCCCCTTTCAGCAGTGAGTTATAGAATTAATAGGACAAGTCAGCATCTTAAAGGGAGACACCAACTGGTTTTATTTTTAGGACTTATGTGATTTTCTCCATCTCTTCAATGACATTAAGACCCTCTCTTTCTTATTCTCTCTCCAGCCAAAGGGGTTTCGGCGTTACTACAGCTCCCCCTTGCTCATCCATGAACAGTTTGGATGCATTAAAGAAGTTATGCCCATTGGTGAGTTGGACATTCATGAGTTGAGTTGGGTTTTGAGCTGCAGAGTCAGTAATAAGTGCTGTCCTCCAAGGACTTCCAATGGCATTTGCCAGTAAATGGATGGAACTGGAGAATTTCATATTAAATGAAATAAGCCAGTCCCAAAAAACCAAAGGCGGAATGTTCTCTCTGATATGTGGATGCTAACCCACAACAAGGGAAGGGAAGATTAGAAGTTCATTGGACTAGACAAAGGGGAATGAAGGGAAGGGGGGTTGAATGGGAATAGAAAAGACAGTAGAATGAATCAAACGTATCTTTCCTATCCTTATATGTGAATATGCAACCAATGTAACTCCACATCATATACAACCACAATATTGGGATCCTAATTGGAACAAGTTATTCTTGTTCTATGTATATATGATACATCAAAATATATTCTACTGTCACGTATATCTAGAAAGAACAAATTAAAAAAATAAAACAGTGGCTGTCTTTGTTTGGTGGCTGCTTGGGTTGTAATTGTTTTGCTGGAGGAGAAACAGAAGGTGGACCAAATTCTTCAAAGAATTTTCATCCTGATGAAGTTTGAAAAACACTCACGCCCCAAAGGCTCCTGATATGCTTTCTCAGTGATGAGCAGCACAGAAGAGTGGCAAGAGCATGGGGCACAGCTTCCCAAAGACCTGTGCAGAGCTGGTGGCCTACTGTTCTCTGCACAAATAACTAGATCTGTCAGATCCTACAAACTGAGAAGGGCAATCACTGTTTTCATAGTTGTTGTGAGATAGATAGATAGATAGATAGGGATAGATACAATATATAGTATCTGATATGATAGTATATCTGATATAAATATGACATATACTGAGTATATACTATAGACAATAAGTATAAAGTGGGAACTCAGGAAATATCACTTATTCTTTAATGAGGAACTAAATAATGCCCTATATTTATAGATATTCTGGCTTAGATTTCTTCTTTTATAATACCTTTCAATTTTCTTCTTTCTTCTTTTTTATTTTATTTTTTTTTCATTCTGTCTCTAAAAATCTCGACATCTATTTTTGCCTTTTTGGCTGGACAGGTTTTAAAGTAGAAATTTATAAACTGGAAACCTTTTAATTAGAAATTTATGAAGCCTGGTAATTTCAAATCCCTTTGAAAAAACACTTGCCCCCTGCTGCAAACATTGTGTCTCAAGAATGTGCCCTAGTGAGCAGAGCCTTTCTCTGGAGGAAATGAAAGGCTCTAGAGTCCTGGGGATGGATCAGGAAAGAGGAAAACCAATCACCTGGGGAAAGTTTCAGAGCAGAGTCCTGGCTGGAAGTTCTGGGTGCCATGGTGAATGTGCACATGGTGGTGTGGAGGTCACGTCTGTGCGGGAAGCTGGATCTTCCCCAGGGCTGGCAGGTCAGCTGCAAAGAACCTACTTCTCTTCTCGGAGGATGATAACCCAGGAGTGATGCGTGGTGGGCGGGGTGGGCCCTCTCCTGTGAGCTTTCTCAGAAAAGCTTTCTCTTCTGTTGCAGCCTGTGGCAATAAGGTGGACCCTGTCTACGAGACCCTTCGCTTTGGCACTTCCCTGGCCCAGAGAACGAAGAAGGGCAGCTCTGGCAGTGGCTCTGATTCACCTCACAGGACCTCTGTAATTGTCCTCTTCCCCCCTCAGTCACTCATGGTGTCTCGGGCAGGGCCAGCCTCAGGTGCAGCAGTGTAAGAGATTTCATCTGAATGTGCCATGAGGATGATTCTTCTGAGAGTCAGGCTACCTCTAAAGGGTAACTCAAAGTGCTCTGGGCCACTAAGGGCTGACTTTCTGTTGTCAACGCCCAGGGCACATTTTACTTTTCTGCTCAAAGATCATTCTCTTGGCCTCATGACTTTTCCCATATACCTGTTTTTGTTGTTGTTGTTGTTTTTGTTTTTGTTTTATCCTGTCACCAATATTAGATGGTATATCAGTCAACACTTAAGAAATATTTGGCTGAGTCAGACATGGAGGTACACACCTATAATCCCAGTGACTGGAGAGGCTGAGGCAGGAGGATCCCAAGGTCAAGGCTAGCCTCAGCAGCCTAACAAGGCTCTAAGCAATTTAGTAAGACCCTGTCTCAAAATTAAAAAAATAAAATAAAAAGCAGGGCTGGAGATGGAACTCAGTGTAAACACACCTACAGGTTCAATCCCCAGCCCCCCCACCCCCCAAAAAAGAAAGAAAGAAGGAAGGAAGGAAAAATAAAAGAAATATTTGACTCAAACAATGGGCGAAATCAGAGAAGGTCTGGATGTTTGCATTTCTCCTTCTAGCTTTATCCCAGTTAAAAAAAGATAGCTATTTCTCATATTTTCTCACTCCTTTCTAAGACAAGGTGTCCCTTGATTTCACAGAAAAATGGCCCTCCCTGGAAATGCTCGACCTGTGACTCAGTAGAACCTCTCTCCAAGGGACACTCACCCTCCCAAACACCTCTTTTGGTTCATCTGACCTAAACTGACTATTTAATGTATTTCTGTGCCCACCCTGTCTCTGGCTCTCCCATTCATAATTTCTATAAATGGTCCAAGATGCCACACCCTTGCTGAAAGCCACCATCCCTCCTAAAAAATGGCAAGGACTTTCAAGTGCACATGGCCATTCAGGAAGGCCTGAATAAGGTTGCATAAGGTTGCAGGACTGGAACTTTACGGCAGGACTCAGATGAGCCTCCAAATGGTCTACCCCTCTGAGTCATCATCAGGTGACTAGAGGAGGAGTAGAAGAAGGCAGAACACACCCCTGGAGGTGTCCTCAGGGCTGAGCTGAGGCAGCTCCCTCACTGGCTGCAGGTCTATTCATAAGATAGTCTGAGACTCTAGGCAGGGAATGTGATCAAGCCTGCAGGTAGATGTGTTTGTGGGTCTCTGATGCTACATGGTCGTTCTAGAAACCAATTCACTGAAATCTCTGTTCTTCAGAAACTCCACTGATTTATCTCACTCAAATAATTATAAAATAATTTTTAATCTTTTTCCTGGCTCATGCATAACATTTATGCTAATGAGGTTTTTCTTTTCCTTTTTTTTTTTTTTTGCAATTTAACACACACAAATAAAAAGCCCATATTTACTAATTTTTGAAAACCAAACCAATAGAAGAGAAAGTTGAAGGTGGTGACATTATTTTAAAATATACCTGAATATGCCTTATGCCCTTTTATTAAAATTAAGAACATAGGATATATATGTGTTCAAGATATTACAATAACCATGCCACAGGAAAGCTGAAGGATTTCATAGTAAGATGGAAATGTTTAGCTTCAGAAGATACTTCCTCAAAGCAGTGAGGATATAATTTGTGACAGTTTAAGATACCTGAATCCCTATGATCTTTGCAGAGAGATTATTATCATTTGGCAGTTTAGAAGATAATTTTAATTCATTTATTGAATGAATAATTAAAATTGTGCTAAATGTAATTTTGAAAAAATATATAAAATGGATAGGAATAGAATTTATATTATAGTCATGCATCATAGGCACTTTAATCAATGACAGATAACATGTATGGTGGTGGCCCCATAAGATTATAGCAGAGCTGAAAACTTCTTATGGCCTAGTATTTTTACTGTGCATTTTCTATGTTTACATACACAAATGCTTATCGTGGTATTAAAAATTGCCTACAGTATTTAGTACAGTCACATGTTAGTCAGGTTTATAGCCTAGAAGCAATAGGCTATGCCATATTGCCTAGGTGTGTATGGGCCATACCATCTAGCTGTGTATAAGTGCACTCAAGAATGTTTTCACAATGAAAAAATGCATTTTTCAGAACATATCCCTGTTATTAAGTGATGCATGGCTCTACATAAACTTGTTATGGCTACATGGGTAAGGTAATGATAATATAATAATAATAACTACATAAAGTATTTGCTATGATATAATAGTATACATAAAGTATCTAGCATAGGTCCTGGAATAATTTGCACTGAATAAATGGAAGTGGTTGCTGCTTTATTTTCACTGAGCATCTAAGTCTTAGGTGGATTTCCGTTAAACCTAAGTTATGAAGTTAAACAAGGGTGTCATCCATTCATGAGGATTTGAAAAGAGTATTTTCCAAAGCCCTCCATTGACAGGGCCCATGCCCAGGCTTTGTTGGAAACCCATGACTCATTGGAGGTTCTGCTGTTCTGCTCAGCTCATCTTCTCTGACTCACCTTCCACTTGCTCTTTAATTTGGACTTTTCCCAGGGATCTGTTTTTGCTTGGTCTTCTGGTTCTACATGCTCTTCCTGGTTGATCTTTACATTTCTCTTTTCCAACCATCATCCCTAAGCTTAGATATTTCCAGTTCTAACTTCTTGCCAAAGCACCATGCCAGTCCTACAGATACTGCAACATGAGCATATCTAGACTGTTCTTGTGCTCCATTGGTGATTATGTTTCACGAGGCAGAACTCAGAAATATGTATCCTAAGTGCCCTTCTCTTTCACCAACTATCAGGACTTGAAACTCATTATCTCTCACCCAGATTACAACAAAGAAATATTTATGCTACTTTATTCATTTTGAGTGTACTATTAGCAGCATCTCAAGTTGTATCATCCCTTAAATACATGCACAATTTTCCTAATTAAAACACTCTATTGAGTCACTTCTGCTGGAAGGACAATGCCCAAACTCTTCAGCATGGCTGATACAGATGAACACTTGAGAAATAGTTAAAGAATGAGAAAGAATCAATATGGGACTCTTGATGGCAGGATCCTCTGGGGTCCACAAATACTTAACTTCTCACATGCAAGCTCCCATGATACGAGGCTTTTCTTTTTTTTTTTTTTCCCTGAATTCACCAAGCTCTTGATATCACATCTTAGAAAATATTGCTCTCTACAATTGCAATTCTTTAAGATACAACTTGATTTCTATAAAAATAAAAAGTAGAGTCCCCAGACTCCCTCAAGCATGACCGGTCATTCCTTCCACAAGCTTTCAAGAGCTCCTTTCTTATTGGATATACTTGATTACACAGTAATTATCTTCTTTTGCATCAATTTCCTTAACTAGATAGTAAGTGGCTATACATCAGGGGCTCCTTCCTTATTTACCTCACTACACCAGGACCTTGCAGGGTCTCCAGCACATAGTGAGCACTTGAGAAATGGTTGAAGAATAGAGAAGAATTAATGAGAGACTCTTGAAGACAGACCTCAGAATCTTCCAGGGTCCACATAACACTTCATTTCTCACAGCCAACCTCCAGGAACAGCTCTCTGAAAAGCCATGCTCTGTCTAGTCACCAACACGTTGTCTCTAACTCTGCAGATAACATCTCCCAGAGCTTCCTGCTTTGGCTGGGCACCTCTTCCCTGTTCCCTGTTCTCCCATAGCAACTGATTTATATAATGCTTAGTAATTTTTGCTTCTTTATTTAATTGTTCTCTCGCTTTTCCAATCACCTCTTCCACTAAGACAGAGCTGCTTAAATGCAAGCGCTCTGTTTGCATTTTATTTCCAATACTTTATATCTGTGATTCTCAGACTTTGGTGGGCATCAGAATTCGATGGGGGAACTTAATAACAACACAGAGGGAGAGTTTTTGCCCTATGTGAGTTTTATCAGCAACCCAGATGATCCCAATACCCACCAAAATTTGAGAAACATTCATGTATGTAGTGGCTGTCCATTACAAATTCTCATTAAATCTCTCACTAAATCTATGGTGTATAAAAAAAATGAACAAACACCAAACTCTCTAAACTTCTAAGAAGGACCTAAAGCTGGCAGTAAATTTGAATTAAGTACTTAAGTTTGGTTCCAAGGAAATCAGCCCTGCCAGCTCCTTCCTCTTTCTTTGTCTTATTCACAGTTGCTCTCTGTATAGACAGCTTTTAAATCACACACTTACAGCAACCAGAAGGCTGGATCTAAAGCTTGGAAACAAGATCAAAGGATGATAACCCTCTGCCAGATCCTATCGACCACATCACACCTTTCTCAAGGGAATGAGAAGGACCTGCGCTGCCAATGAGTGGCTTCCCCCAGAGCCACATAGAGCTGGTTTGCAGCCCATACCCCTTCACCCATTGTCCCTTACAAGTCAAGACTTTTTGTAGCTACCACCTAGCAAGCCAAAAGAAAAGCCCAAATAAAACTGATCAGAGTGAAGAGAGACTTCTTTCCACTTTGACCTGCATTTTGACCAGACTTGCATTCTCTCACGTCTCTGATGAGAGCCAATATATCCTCATTCCACTCCAACATAAGCATTTCCCACTCTTATATGAGACCAGCATTGGAGAAAAGGTAAACAGAAGGCCAAGGTGAGGCAAGGGTGGAGAAGAGGCTCCCGAGAGATGACCTTGAACTATCCATATAAAGAGTAGGTAGCTGACTGCTCCTGCAGTCCTTAGCTTTGCTGATCATATGACAAAGAGACATCCTTAGACACATTCCATAGTTTGCAATGAACATTTTAGCCTCCATTTTTGGCTAACTGTAAGAAGCAGCAAAACCATCAGAGGAATAACTGAAGGATGCTCAGTTCGCTTTCATCTCTAAAATACCTTTGTTTCTAACAACATTTGGACCCTGTAAACTGATTTTAGGAGCAAAAAGCACAGTTTCTGATTGTGTCAATAGGGTGTCATTCCTCACTGTCCAGTTATTCTAGTACTGATTCCATCAGTAAATATTTGTTGGAGTTTTGCTTATTGAAGGCATTGTTCTGAAAACCACAGGGAGACAAAGAAAAATCAAATTGTACTTGAGTATCTGTCACCTCACTCTTTTCCCAGAGACCAACTTGCCTCTGTAGAAGAAAACAGAGACAATTGATTGGTACTTTAAAATGATTTTGCTTCCTTCCTGCAGGGTCAAGTGATAATGAACTTCAGCCCCTTGCCATTCTTTAATGCTGTTATGTCCTAAAGCTAACTCATTCCCACATAGCAAAGCTTTGTTCTGCAGGTTTATTTTCTTCCAGGGCTGAGGAGGCATTTGTTCTACATTGTCCAGAAATCACTGCCTGATGGTTTTCCAAATCGTTATGTTTTCAAAGAATGTTCTAGAATATAAAAAGCCTGATGGCTTTGGAGAGGCTTTGGTTTTTTTTGAAGTAACTTTAAAAAATATATTCTGGTTAGTTTGTGAATAATCTCAGTTTCATAAGATTAAATTGAAATAAATGAAATTCCCTGTAAAGCATTTGTGTGTAGAAATCATAAGCCTCAAAAAGAGCAGGGTATGAATGATGAGGACCTTGTGCTGGGTTGTTAGGTTTCTTTTTTCCCCCCTTGTGTTTTCTTTTGTTTCCTTCTGATGTGTCATGAAAGTAAACTGTCTGGGAAAAAATAATCTTCAAGCTAAACTGTAACAAAAATCTGTCTTGAGTGAGGCCTTGCTAAGCAACTTAGCAAGACCCTGTCTCAAAATAAAAAATAAAAACAGCTGCAGATATGGCTCAGGGGATAAGCATTCCTGTGTTCAATCTCTGGTACCAAAAAAACAAAAATCTGTCTTGGAGGATGGTTCTCAAGTGCTCTAGAGCTGATGAGGAAAGTAGGAAGGTGAACTTATCTTGTTCCACTCCAATAACATGTAAACAAATTATTTTTTAGAATGTGATTTTCTCATCCTCTTGGAAGAGGTAGAAAGGAGCTAGGATATCTGATCATGTAAAAGTGGCCATAAGTGATGTGCTGGTGAATGTTTAACCAACCAGGTTAGAGTTGATCCTGAATTGTAACATATGCCAGTTCCCATGACCATGACCAGCCTGATATGACAATGTGATAACCCTGAAGGCTCTCACCAGCCCATGCAGCCAACATATCATTGGATGGGCCCACTCCCCCACGTCCCACTATTTATTAGTTGTGGGACCTCCAGGAAAACCACTGTTTCTGGGATGCAGATTTCTACCTGAATCTCTCATAGGATTATTGTAAAGAATAAATGAGATGATACATGCAAAATTCTTAAAAACAGCACATGGTAAGTAATCAAGAACCATTAACTAATTGGAATGCCATTGTTGCTGTCTTTATTATTTCTGAAACCTAGATGGAAGAATGACTATGCCTTCTCTTCTTTAAAAAAAAGGAAGAATAAACATTACAAAAATAATTGATTTTGGCAGCAATGTAAATAGCACTTTATTCATACCTAAGTAGTCATCCTTCAATAGTGCATCTGGTTCTCTATAATTAGTATTTAAAGCTCACCCACACAAAGAGTTATAGTTTCATTGATATTTTTTTAAGTGACAGGATATGGGCAGGAATTCTGATTTCTCTCTGTTGTCTCTTCCTGGGAAGAAGCTCATCCAGCATTCATTGGGCACCTACCAAGGCCAAGCCTGAGCCTGAAGGGAGGCACTTGAGGACCAAGAGTCCCATACAGCCTTTCTGAAGTTAGCCATCAGAAAAAAAAAAACAACAACAATAATTATTTTCTCAGGCATTGTGCAAATTCCACCTTAGCTTTTCTACTGACATGAAAACCGCTGCTCAGTTGGCCCACTGATATAACATTGCTCATTCTGTGCTGTTTCCTCTTTCCTTCAAGACTTCAGACCTTGTGGAGGTTCCTGAAGAAACTGATGGTCCAGGAGCCGGGTATGACCTAAGGAAACGCAGCAACAGTGGTAAGTGACATAAATGTCCCAGCACAAATGGGAACACATTAGTCAGGATTCAGGTAGAGTCCATTTCCAGTCCCCTCTCTTTCTCTGCTAGATCTAGAATCCAATCTGGAAAATCTAATATCAGTATTCTGGAAGGAAACGGGGCATAGTTCCTGGTCAATTTCAGACGCTTGATTCTGACATCTCCTTGAATTCTACTACCTTAGGGGCTTAGCCATAGTGAGGCTCAGGAGTCACTTCCAGACCTTTCTGTAACTGTGCTATTTCCTCCCCTGTCATAGATTCTATTAGAAAACTATACTACAGAGCAACTACTTTGCACTACATCCAAAGTACCTGAAACAGGTGAGGGAGAGGCATCAGCAAGGGGAGCTTGCTCCTCACACACAGCTGCTACCTAGCAGAGATGACTAAAACTAAAAAAATGAATCATACAATCCAAACATTCTTAATCAATATTATGTAATCCTCTAATAGCTTAAGCCCTTGTTACAATAATTTCTAAAACATTCATTAAATGCCACATACATAGTATTTTTCATTAAAATCATGAAAAAAAAATCTCTTAAACAAAGATTAAAAACACACAGCCAGACCCTTACATTACATTCTCTGCAAGCCATTTTTGACATCCACTACCATTTAACCTTCACTCATTTATTGAAAAATGTTTGTGAAGCATTTATAATCACCAGCAAAAATACAGCAGTCATAAAACCTGTCCTCAGGTTGCTCACAGGCTAGGGAGGCTACAGGTCCTGACCTGTGTTGAGAGCATTTTTGTGGCAGAGTGAGCTCCTCCAGGCTTCAGTCCCTGTCTGCCGAGAATGGAGCTGTGCTGCCTTGGGTAGATGTTCCACATGACTAGTCACCCCGCCTTTTCTAGTCTGCAGGCAGAAGTTTTGCAATCAATACTGCCTAGCTGCTTTGGCAGCAGCATCTTAGGAGATATTGCTTCCACAGCCTTAGCTCTGGGAATTCATTTATGTCTCTTCTCTAGTTAGGACTGTGTCTGTGTGGGTCCCATAAAGCACTATGTGCTTAGCTACCCCCATGACTCTCCTTCCTAAATAAGCATCAGCACTCACCCTGGGCTTGCCAAGCCCACACACATCTGCTAAAGCTCACTGCTAGGGTGAGGATTCTTTAGCATTACATGGGGAAAACACTACTTTAGATGGATGCAAACATTGGTTGAGCACTTAGCAGTGCCATTAGAGAGACACATTAGAGGGTGTTGGCTGCCAGGGGAACCTCACAGCAGGCAGTACCAACTGCAGGATCAGCCTAGCCCCAGTCCATCTGGCATTGCAGGTCCAGCAATATAATTTGGTTAGTAACCCCAGCATTCAGTGTCTGAGCAACTAACACACCAGAAACTTCTATATAAACCAGACGTGCATGTTCAGACTTCAAGTCTGGTCATCCACTCAGTCCAAGTGCCTTCATTCTTCCCCTGATGCTCTTCCCACCAACACCACGGATGTCCTTCTCACTACCCACTGGATATTAGGTCCTTGGTGCATCCTTGCTCTGGAGGCAAAGCACTGCACTTAATAATTGTGTGACCTTGAAGTAGTGACCTAGCCTTTCTCCTCCTCAATCACCCCTACTCTGAAATGAAAATAATGGTAACGCCAAATCCATAGGATCACTGTGATCTTTGAGTGAATTAACAAATGTAAATACCATCTGTAATGGTGAGGATGCCAAATTTCATCTTCAGCATTAGGCTTTCCTGCTGCCTCCAGATCCTGATAGCCTACTGATCATGGCCCTCTGGATGTGGAATAGCACCTTAAAGTTGTGACATTTGCAAACTTGACTCTTGATGCTCCCACCCAGCCACCCAAATGGGCTCTTTCCACAATCGTCTCTGCTCAGTAAATAGGAACTCTATCAACCCATCCATCAGGCCAGAGTTTTTGATATTAGGTTTGACTTTCATTTCCTCTCATACCTCATATCAAATCTGTCAAGAAATCCTCTCTGCAGCTTCTCAGACTTATGCCCAGCAAATGCCCACCATTTAACTCTGCCTATGCTACCCAGGTCTGGCTCTATATATTTTACATGATAGTTAAATCCTCTGTTTACCCTGAGGATTTCTCTCCAAAGGTGGTCTTAAGGAAATTTTATAGTATGAAGAGCTACACTTAGAAATCATCAATATGAAGCATAGTTGCTATTAAAAAAAGTCATCATGAGGTCATGAAGGGTCAGAGATTCAACTTAGACCAAGCATGGTTCCTGGACCAGCAGACAGGGTACCTCTTAGAAGAATTTTAGAAATGCAGACCTATAGTCATCCAGACCTGCTGAATCAGAATTTGCATATAGATCTGTGGTTCATATGGTCATTAAAGTTTGAGAAGTAGGATTACAGGTCTTTTAATCTAACTCCCTCTCCTCCAATATCTCTCTCTCTCTCTCTCTCTCTCTCTCTCACACACACACACACACACACACACACACACACACATACACACACCATACAGAAAAGAAAACTAAGCTTCAGAGTAACACTCAAAAACACAGTTGATTGTTTTCCATCCCTTCTATGTTAAGGGGCAATTTCATAGCCTTATTCAAAGAGATCAGTTGAAAGAATTTTGTAAAATACAAACTTTTTAAAAGCTTTGGAGAGCAATTAAATATTCCTTTGATCAGCAATAGCGTTCTTTACAATATCCCCTTGGAAGCTAGGGGGATTAATTATGTAGCAGTTTGCTTCAAAATATTTTCCTTTGACTGATTTTAATTCCCTATCAATGTAGTTTGAGAAACAACTGGAGGACATCCCCAGCTCATGTAGTTTCCCCAGGATCCCATCAGTCATGGCAAGAGGGACTGGCTTTCTAGAAGTGGTATCTGCGAAGCCAATGACAAATGGTTCTGCATTACATGTTTCATTTATGACCTAAAATAATATTTCTCACAGGTGTTATTTCCTCCAGATCTCTGAAGTACCTTAGAAGCATATATAATTCATCCTAATTTCTTTACTTCTAAGAGTGCAATCTCTGTTTTCCTCTCTTAAAAATTTTCTTGGGTAGGATTGAGTGTTTTCAGTTATTATTTTCAACACTATTCCTGAATGCATTATAGACATAGAGTGGAAAATTTGTTGGTCTTCACCTTTGGCTTAACTGTTAGAAACTCCACTAATAATAAAGTAATAAGCAAAGAAGAAATATCTGGGCTGCCTGTCTCATCTTGAAAAGCCAAATAATAGTTTTACTGGCTGCCTTCAATAATTGCATTTCAGTATGACTGTATGTGATCCCAGTTTTCCTGGAAGAGAAACAGAGAGAGCAGGACATAAGCAATACAAATTCCTAGAAATTTTCTTCAAAAAGGACTGGGTTAATCACATCCATTTGAGGATATTACAAAACCAATATTACCTCACTTTGCACTTAAGCAAAGAAGTTTTGCTCAGAAAGAGAAAAGGCAAGCTCAGATGTGGAAAATTTATTCTTGTTTTAAGCATTCATAGGCTCTATATCTCAAAGTTGTCACCCCTCTCTCCCAGAATATTTTAGCGGCTCAGTGGACAGATAACCTCTGGTTCTTGTCCCCCTCCAGTGAGCAATTCCTAAATTGCAGATGTAAATATTTATGGTATATTTCTACAATACATACTTAGTCTCCAGATCAGGTAATGATCTCTTTAAAAGTACAGAAGATTCTCTTTTCAGCAATATGGAAGGTTGGATACTCAGATGATTTTTTTTTCCCTGTTTAGCACTCTTAAAACTGTTGAGGAAAAAAATTTTAAAGAAATTTCTAGATAATGCACTGAGAGAGCTGACAACAAAATAAGACAATTCCTTAGAGTCTAGAAGTGACAAGAAAACATGGATCTAGATGAACTCAGAGATATAAGCAGGTGAAGGCCAATATTTACTCCGCACGTATCTGGAGCCTTCGGTGTAGATAATAAAAGACCCCCCATATGAACGATGAGGAATAAAACTGGGTAGTGTGCAGGGTAACAGGATGGAAGAGAGGCCCCTTGGAAAAATGCTGACACCACAAAAGGCATCCTTCCTGTCACTAGCAAAAAAGAATGCCTTCCAGAGGAATATGTGTATCAGCCTGAACTCAGGTGGAGAAGGAGAAGAAGAAGAAAAAAGAAGAAGAGAAATAGGGGAAGAAAGAGAAACAGAGGGAAGGAGGATGGGGGATGGGAGGGAGAGAGGAAGGGAAAGGGAGGGAAGAAGGGAGGGAGGGAGAAAATAAGGAAGGAAGAAAGCGAAGAACAAGTTCTTCCTACTTGGGTTTTAGGGACTGAATCTATACTACCAATATATGCAAAGTAAAACAATATGAAATTCTTGTTTACTTTACCTTAAAATGCCAAAAGCAGTACTGTCTCCATGTATTTAGCTGAGGTAAATGTAAGCTCTCTTTGGAAGAAGAGAATTTAAACCCACATGTACATGAAAAGTAATTTATTTTGCCTGTACTTTTCTTGTTTATTTTCTTGTTTATTTTTCTTGTTTATTCCCATGGGAACTTTAAAAAATTATTTTACTTTCGAGCTTTCCACTTTCTTAAGTTTTAGATATTTATTGATAGTATACAGGTCATTTAAAAATTTGGTCTGAAAAACTTGGTCTTTTATTGGGTTGAAATTGACTTCGTCAATCACTGGTAAATTTGAATTACTTCCTAAATATTTTATTTTGCATCTTCTATATGTCCCAAATTTTCTATGCTTTTTCTTCTATATACCTCAAAAACTTCCCACAGTAAACTTCCAAAGAAAATAAACTAACAAAAAAAAAATACCAAACATGAGAAAATGAGCCACCACTGGTGAGAATTATCAGGAAAAAAACAATTTTATTATCAGACTCTCAAGAGATTGTATATGTTGAAATTATCAAATAAAGAAACATATAGCTATTTTAAGTGAACTAGAAAAATGTAATAAAGGAACATTAGACTATCAAAATTAATAGGAAAATTTGAATAGAAACTAAGTAGACGCT